GCAGGATCTCGGTGGTCCCACCAGTGGTGCCCCTTCCCCACAGGATCTCGGTGGTCCCACCAGTGGTGCCCCTTCCCCACCTCTTCCTGCTCCTCCTCTGGCTATTTCTGATCCCTCTTCAGACTCACCTTTTCCAAGAAGCTTTCTCTAACTAAGCCCACTTTAGTTGAGGTCACAGCAGTCACTCTAGTAAGCCCTACTTACCCAATATAACACACACACGCACGCATGCACGCGTGTACCCATCAGTGGTTTTCGAACTAGCCTTCAAGGAGACTGGGAAGTAGTACAAAGATGTCTCAGAAGTCACCTGGGAGACCCAGGAGAGAGCCACAGGGGTGCTTCAACCAGGAGGGCTCTGCATTTATCTATTTTGTACACTGAGCTTCCATATAAGATTTCATTAAAAAAAAAAAGATTTCACAGCCCAAAGAAGTTGGAAAGCCACTGCAATGTACCTATATATGGCAATCTATATAGTGATGCTATGTATGCATTCTTATGCCTCTTTCATTGGAGGCAAGGAGCATTTTGCTCCTTGGCCCTCCACCCTGCCTGGCTCCAGTCTCTTCACATGCGGGCTCTCAGCTAGTGGTACCACCTGATCAAATGCCAGAGCAGAAAGACCACTCTCCTGGCCTACCTTCTTTTTGTCCTTACTGCGAGGGCTCAACTCCTGGGGCTCAGACTCCATCTGGGCCTCCAGCTGCAGCTCAGCCTCCTCCAGTTCAGACTCTGGCTCCTCCTCCTCTTCCTCAAGATCCTCCTCAAGCGTTTTTAACTTCTTTCCCTTCACAAGGATCTTCCTCCGAAGCTCCTAGGGGACAAAAATGAGGGGGCCTGTCTACCTATCTCGTCTGGAACCCTCCTGGGGATCATGCAGGTCCCGCTGCTCTCAAAGGCACAGGAAGTGAGTGAGTGGTCAGAAGTTCCCACAGGAAGGCTTATTGATACATACAACAGGGATTTCCTATTAAGCGAACCTGTAACATCTCTATCCATAAGGAAAAAAATACATGCAGACCCCTACCTCACATTTGACACATGAAGATTCCTCACAGATTAAAGATTTACATGTAAATATAAAGAACATAAGAGTATTAGAAGAAAATACAGAATCTTTTTGAATAACCTTAAGGTGGTAAAGCCTTTAAAAACATGAGATGGGGCTTCCTTGGTGGCGCAGTGGTTGAGAGTCCACCTGCCGATGCAGGGGACACGGGTTCGTGCCCCGGTCCGGGAAGATCCCACATGCCGCGGAGTGGCTGGGCCCGTGAGCTGTGGCTGCTGAGCCTGCGTGTCCGGAGCCTGTGCTCCGCAACGGGAGAGGCCACAACAGTGAGAGGCCCGCGTACCCCCCGCAAATAAATAAATAAATAAATAAAAACATGCGATGAAAACTCACAAGACATAAAAATAATTGGCAGATTTGACTACATAAAGATTAAAAATCTCTGAAGATGTTATAATGACAAAAAGAAAAAGTAGACTGCAAGGGCAGTTCCCTGGCACTCCATTGGTTAAGACTCCGCACTTTCACTGCCGTGGCCGGGGTTCATTCCCTGGTCTGGGAACTAAGATCCTGCAAGCCGTGCAGCGCGGCCAAAAAAAAAAAAAGGAAAATAGACTGCAAAAACAAAAATTTTCCAAAACATTATCTTTAACATTTAAAAATTTGTTATATATCAATAAAAATTATAAACCCTGGGCTTCGCTGGTGGCACAGTGGTTGAGAGTCCGCCTGCCGATGCAGGGGACACGTGTTCGTGCCCCGGTCCGGGAAGATCCCACATGCCGTAGAGCTGCTGGGCCCGTGAACCATGGCTGCTGAGCCTGCACGTCCAGAGCCTGTGCTCCGCAACGGGAGAGGCCACAACAGTGAGAGGCCCGCGTACGGCAAAAAAAAAAAAAAAAAAAAGAAAATACATATATATGAAAAGACATTCATGATATATATTGATATTATATGTGAGATATAAAAGGGGTGGAAAGGATGATCCCATTCACGTTTTTAAAAATGTGACCATATATACACATATATGTCTATATAAGCATTTAGAAAATCTTTTGGCAGCTGTTATGGGAGAGGCTGAGATTATGGTGGGGGGGCTAGGCTATAATTATGAACTATCAAGAAAAAAAGATTTTCCATTAAAAAATAAAGTAAATAAATGTCTTTAAATTTAGAGAACTTTACCTAGAATTCTATGTTAAATTAGATTTTTTTTTTTTTTTTTTGGTTGCACCACACGGCTTGTAGGATCTCAGTTCCCCATCCAGGGACTAAACCCGGGCCACGGCAGTGAAAGCCCGGAATCCTAACCACTAGGCCACCAGGGAATTCCCTGAATCAGATTTTTAAAAAATTGAAGTTCTCTCCAGGGATATTAAAGAGTAAGATGGTCCATCTGAGGATGAGAAGAAGGGAACAAGATGGGCATGGAAGAAGGAGCCAAGGTGGGGCAATAGGGAAGTCATGGCAGAGCCTGGGCTGGGGGAGCATGGTCCTACCTCAGGGGAGGGCAGCTGAGTGGGAAGCTGCCCATCCAAGGTGGTGCTCAGTAGCTGATTTCCCAGGATCTCTGTCAGATGGCGTGCTATGATCTCCTGCTGTTCCCAGCTGCAGTGGTTCTCCAGGGACAAGATGACTGGATAGTCTGATGTCTGATGGGGAGGGGAGGGCACGCTGGAGCCAGAGTTCTGAGGCCTATAACCTCCTTGCTTCTCCAGGCCCCCCTAGTTACTAACTCAACTGAGTACCCTGATTGCCAAGGTCCTCCAACCCCATGCCAGGCCTCAAGGAGATCTTCCTGGGTCTGGGCACCCCACATCTAAAAGTCACTCTTGGGACCCCAAATCTCAGATCTGTGCCAGGTCTGATCCAGGTCCCTCTGGGACCTTTGCGTTTTCAGGCTCAGAGTGGGAAAGCCAGGCCATTCCCCCAGTTATTTGTTCATGTTACACTCTCAGGCTTTCATCTCCAGATTGCTATTGTCTCCCAGCTCTACCCACCACTTTCTCTGTTTCCTCATCCACCCTCTCCCAGATGGGTGACAGAAGTTGTTAGAGGTAATAATTACTAATCTCTAGCAATTAGCTCTATGACTACTAGTAACACATCTAACACTTATTCATAATAATCCCTTAATATTTGCCTGATGCTTCACAGTTAAAATCTCTTTTACACATATGCCATTTGACGTAACCTCCCCTGCATCCCTCCACCCTCCCCAGACCCAGAGCCTTTTCCTTCAGATCCTCTTGCCTCATCAGTATTTCTATCCTGAGGCTCCTACCTGGAAGGCATACTGTCCAATGGCGGCCACAACATCTTTGAACGGGATGCGAGAGGTCAGTGTGTGTCCGTGGTAAACAATAGGTTCCCCGCTAGGTCCATCCCATATATCCACCTCCACGCAGCGGCATCCTCGCTTCAGGGCCCTGCAAGAACCCCACCCCCCAGGGACAGGAGGGGTCAAGGTCTGATCTTCCACCTAGGGACCCTCTCTCCCCACCCTGAAGAGAACAGTGCTTACCGGCACTTACCCATCAAGACTCCACCAAGTTACATCTCCACGGACCCTTCTCTGTCTACTGGGACAGGGCTGCAGCTCACACTGATCTCCACCCACCCCCACCCAGCCCAACTCACAATCCTCCCTTAGCGAGCCATCACATCCTGCCTTGGGGTGTTCTGCTTGTAAATCGTTATACAACACCCGAGTTATTCAAACTCTCAGTAAATTTACAGTTATTTTCTCTACTAGACTTCCTGGGGAAGTTCCATTCATCATGTATCCCTTGAAGCTACTAGTTCAGTTGCTGGCACTACAAGGATATCTTGACTATTTACTCTAATCCACGATTAAAAGCAGATACCATTTATTAGCTATTGACACATGGATTACCTCATTTCATCTTCACAACAACCCAGACAGAATAGGCATTGTAATCATCTCTGTTTCTCAGATACGGAAACTGAGGCATAGAGAGGTTAAATATTTAGCCCTATAGTCCCAAGTGAGGGAGCTAGTATTTGATCTCAAATCGTCTGACTCCAGAACCTATGTTTTTAACTCCTCTTCTCTACTGCCTCCCATTTAACATTTAGTTTATTTATTTGTTCACAATAAATCTGTCAGGACCTCTGAGTTCCAAGAGAGTTTCATAGCCTATGAGAGAGAGAGAAGCTCCATTTACCCACAGGGTTTCCATACCACTCTCCCGCCAGTCTTCAGTAGCTCCTCCATGTCTCTCAGGTATCCAGGGATACTCAGCCCCAAAGCCCCCCACAACAACTTTTCAATCCCTGTTATCGCCTGACAGCAACCCCCAACTTCCCACAGATGTTCCTTTCTCATGAGCTGGACCCTTTCACCCCTCGGCCCCACTGCACCGTATGTATCCCTCCACGCTGCTCTGGCCACAAAGCTGGTCTCCCACTAGGTAGGTGTTGTGGGAACTGCTGATGTAGTACTGGTTCAGGGGCTGAGTCATATCCTGGTAGATGGGGAGGCAGGTCGGATTGAAGATGTCTCCGTCCTTTGAGTAGAGGTAGCTGAGGAAGCCATCCATGCTCAGCACATGCCGCAGTTTGCCTAGGGTGTGGAGTAGCTAGAGTGAGAAGTTCTGGTGACAGCACCCAGCACACCTACAGGCGGTTCTCCACCCCAGCCCTCTCCAGGGCCTGGCCTTTCCAATGGTGTCCACTCCCAGCCTCCAGATCCCAAACTTGCCCCATCCAGTGTCTGTCATTTCAATCACCCCCACCCTCAGAGAACATTAAATCTACAAGGGGAATCATTAAGATCATTCTAGTCCAGTGCTGTCCAACAGAACTTTCTACAATGACGGAAATGTTCCATTCTGCACGGCCCGATATGATAGCCTCTAAACACATAAAGCTACTGAGTATTTGAAATGTAGCTGTGCGACTGAGGAACTGAGTTAAAATTTTGATTTTAGTTACAGTCATCCCTCAGTATTCACAGGGGATTGGCTGCAAGACCTCCCCCTTCCCCACAGCAGATACCAAAATCCGTGGATGCTCAAGTGCCTTACATAAAATGGCATGGTGCAGTCGACCCTCCGTATCCACGAATGTGGAATCTGTGGATACAGAGGGCCAACTGCAAATTAAATAGTCACATGGAGCTCATGGTTACCATAATGGACTGCAAAGTATTCAGTCCAAAGGGCTAATTTCATAGATGGGGAAACTGAGGCTCAGAGAGGATCAAAGTCAAAGACTTGTTAGTGACAAGACCAAGATACCTGTGTTTTATTCCCTGGGCTGTGTAGCTGCTGCCAAGTATGGCCTGAGGGTTTCTTCCTATCGTCAGTTCCCATATGGTGCTTTGAGGAGTGTTTGTCCAACATCCCCTTGGACTACACTCTGAGGGCAGGGCCCTGTTGCTCCTTCCAGAGCCCTCACCCCCTCAGCATGGGCTTCATATAATAACAACAATGATGGCTAACAGTTCTTGAGCACTTGCTCTGTGCCAAGGACGTTACATGCAGCATCTCTCTTAATGCTCTCACCAACACGAGCAGGTGGATGTAACATGATTTGCCCTGAGAGGTTAGGTAACTTATCCCAGGGTCACATAACTAATAACTAATAAGTGAAGGAGCTGGGATTTGAACCCAGGCAGCCAGATGTCAGAGCCACGCTCTATACCACTGGATTGTACAGTCTCACTGAGGGTAACATTGTTGCAGGGGAGACAGAACAGCTTGACTCTCATGCCCAGCTTCCTCACTCCAGGTTTGACAAGGCCTGAGGATGGTGGAAAACGACAAGAAGTTGGGCACAAAGTTTCATTCTTGACTGTAATAACTCAAATCGCTAGGGTAAGTCCATAGTTACTAGGTAGTTTTCAGTACATTATTTTTTTTAAATAAATTTATTTATTTTTGGCCGCGTTGGGTCTTTGTTGCTGCGCGTGGGCTTTCTCCAGTTGCGGCGAGCTGGGGCCACTCCTCGCTGCGGTGTGCAGGCCTCTCATTGCGGTAGCCTCTCTTGCTACAGAGCACGGGCTCTAGAGCGCAGGCTCAGTAGTGCCGCACTGGCCTAGCTGCTCTGCGGCATGTGGGATCCTCCCAGACCAGGGGTCGAACCCCCGTCCCCCGCATTGGCAGGCGGATTCCCAGCCACTACACCACCAGGGAAGTCCCCATGTACATTATTTCATTTGATCACCAATTATTTTACAAATGAGAAAACTGAGTCTCCAATAGGTTAAGTGACTCTTGCCCAGAGTTACTCAGTTACTAAGAAGCATAGTGGGGACTTGAGCCCCCGTCTCCTGACTGATACCACACTCTGCAGCCAGAGTGTAGTACCTGATAGTCAAGTGCAAGGGGAAGGAACACCAAAAGTGGTGGGAGGTAGAATAAATGTAATGATGTATACCGGATCCTGAACCGAAAATAGAGGATCCTACTTCTTAACCCACCAACTTCCTCTTCTATTTAGTTTCCTGAAATGATTGCTTTACAGCCCCTTCCTTCTCTGAGCACCCACATGAATCTGGAATCAGCGATTCCAACGCTTTCTGTTTGACTCTGCGTTTCATGAGGGCACTGTACTTGTCTGACCTACTACTGTATCTCTGGTGCCTACCATAGGTCCTGGCACGTTACAAGTACTCAGTGAGCATTTGCTGAAGTAGTGAGGGAATGAATGAATGAATGAAAGGGAGTGGGAGTTGAGACCTAGGAAACCTGGGTCACCTGTCCAGCTCACATTCCTCCCATCTCTAATCCTTGTTCTCAAGAGAGGCACCAGGTAAGAGTCAGATGACCTGGGTTTGAATCCCAGTTCCTCCTTTCATTAGCTGTTGACTCTGAGCAAGTCATTTAACTTTTCTTAACCTCAGTTTTCCTCTTTTGTACAACTGACAATAATAGATCCCACTTCCTCAGGTTGTTGGAAGGATTTGAAGGGAAAAACATGTAGAGATATTAGCACATTATGGGATACTTAGCAAAGGCCCAAAAAAGATTATTGGGTTTGATTTACAAGGATATAGTGAGGACTAAAAGAAGTAAGAGATGTAAAATGCCTTGTAAGTCACTTAATATTAGTAATGTAAATTCTTCACTTTCTGCAGGGAACGGAGGGTAGGAAGGTGTCTAGTAAAGGGGCAAAGAGAAAGGTTTGAGGGCAGACAGGGCATATTTTAGCTGTGCTTGTAAAGAGCTAAATGATTGGCCACCTCATCATCCCCCTCAGCCAGGGACTGACTAGTTTCCCTGCTCAGGGGCTCAGGACTCAAGAACCACTTGGAGAATTTGGAGAAAGCCCAGGAAAGGATAGAGAGCCAGCATTTAAAGAGACAGCCAACAGGAACCATGAAGGGAGCTGGAGGAAAAGGAATCACATGCACTAGAGAAGAGGCCAAAAGCAAGAGGACCGGGCTACCCTGACGGTGCAGTGGTTAAGAATCCGCCTGCCAATGCAGGGGACATGGGTTCGAGCCCTGGTCCAGGAAGATCCCACATGCCGCGGAGCAACTAAGCCTGTGCGCACGCCACAACTACTGAGCCTGTGCTCTACAGCCGACGAGCCACAACTACTGAGCCTGCGTGCTACAACTACTGAAGCCCGCGCGCCTAGAGCCTGTGCTCCGCAGCAAGAGAAGCCACCGCAATGAGAAGCCTGCGCACCACAACAAAGAGTAGCCCCTACTCACCACAACTAGAGAAAGTCCGTGCACAGCAACGAGGACCCAACGCAGCCAATAAATAAATAAATTATTTTTTTAAAAAATAGCAAGAGGACCAAGGATTTTCCGTTTCCACTGAGGACAAATGTTGATATCAGGAAGAACTTCCTGAAAGTGAAGGATGAGAAACATGAGCATGGTGGAGGAAAGGGGACTTATGGAATGTTCCTCCTGAGAAATCCAGCACTACAGAGGAGACTCCTGTCTTATGTGGGCAGGAAATGGCTCTCTCCTTCCGAAAGAGTGGTTGAATGAGATGAAGCTGATTGGGCAGGGGGCCTGGACAGGGGTGGACTCAGCCTTCCCTTAGTTAAGCAGAAGGCTGCTTGTCTCTGCACCTTTCTAGCCACAGTCCCCCATCCGGCCCCCACGTCTGGTGCCTCTCCACCCTTGTCCTCTTACCGCTATCTGAAGGCTCATAGCAGTCGATGAGTTCTAGAGCAAGGTCAGAAGCCCGTTCTCCTTCTTTCTGCTCCTCTTGGAGAAAATCCACAAATTCCAGCAGTGTCAGCTTCTGCCCATCAGATGAAAACTTTTCAAACAGTTCCTGCACCTCAGGACGCTGAGTCAATGACTTATAAAACTCTACAAATTCTTCTCCCTCCAGAGTCCCAGACTGGGATGCATCTGCTCTCTGCAAAAGAGGGTTTAGAGGAGAGTGGACAGACCCTATTAACAGCAGATTTTTTGCTTTGACTTGCCCTGTAAGGGCAATATTACTGGTGGAGCCAAACGTGCTTCCACAGAATTCCTGACATTCAGTGTTCATAGAAGAAGCCACTTCAGTAAGTAAAAAGCAAAATTTCAGCCATACCATTTGCTACTGGAGATAATTTTCAACCAGAAAGAGTTAAATACCCCAACATGTCCCTAAAAGATCAGAAGATCCCTCCTCCTATTTACTCACCTACCAGCTGGAGTTTTCCACTGTACTAGGCACTTGTGAAATTCTGGCCAAGAGCAGAGAGATCCCTGAGGTCTGATGTAATAACATGTTGTTATTTACCTTTCATAAGTTTATGAGTCATCTTTCCAACAAGACTGAAGGTTAAGAACCATGTCCTGCCCACACTTCCCATTGAGCCTGGCATAGTGCTAGGGTGCATAGGAGAGATTCAACCAGATGAGTGTTCCTTGAGAGGGTCAGAGGACTTCCGGCCAAGTGAGAATGTGGCCTTGGCTGGCTTCTGCTATTCCTTCCCCAGAAGACTCACCTGGAAAAGCTGGAAGGCATGGTCTTGGTCCATTTCCACGTTCATCAGGTGCAGTAACCGCTGGACTTCTCCGAAACTCATCCGACCATCCTGGTTTTTGTCTCCGTGCTGGAACCAATCACTCAGCCATCCAGGTCTGAGTCAAGGCAAAAGCACTGAGTGTGTGTTTGTGTGTGCACGCTCATCCATTGACATCTGCGCCCCTGTCTTTGTCGCCAGTCTCTCCCCAATGCCAATTCATTTTCCACATTAGTTTCTGGAATAATCTCCCCAGAGCACCGATCTACCTTGTCCCTGCATGGCTCAGGTGCCTGCGGGGACCTCCCTGTTGCCTGCTGAAAGAAGCCCAAATTCCTTAACATAGAAGTTAAGATCTCCTTCACCCCCATGATCTGGCCCCAACCTCATCTTCTCAACACATCACTGACCTCCCTGTACCTCAGCCAGACTCAGCAACTCCCCTGCTCGCTGATGTCCCACTCTCTCTCCTGCTCTTCAGTTTCCCACCTCTGGGCCTTTACTCATGCTGTTCCCTCAGGCAGGAGTACCTTTCCCTCCTCCTCTCTTCATGTTCAAATTCTATTCATTTTCAAGGCTCAGCTCAAATGCTACTTCCTCCCTGAAGCTTTCTCAGAACCATCTCAGCTAGAAATAAATATTTCTCCTTCCTTTGGACACCCACATATCATCTAGAGTACCATAACACTGCTAAGGTACTTAAATTATTTATACAATTCTATTTTCTTTACCGACAAAAACAGTATCTGATTCTCATTAATCTTTGTATTCCTAAAGCCTGGCATAGTGCCTCATACATTCTGCTTAATAGATGGTGAATGAATGAATGAACTGGCATAGAAGGTGAATACAATCTAGGAAAGTTGAAGTGAGTTGACCCCACTAAGCCCTCTAAGGAGTTGCTTCCCATCCCTATTGTAGTTAATGTCACTGGGATCTTCTGTTCAGCTCTCAGGATCAGCACCTAGTTTGGTCCTTTGCCTCTCACTGTCCCTTCCCCCAATCCTGGGGGCCCTGATTCCTGCCCAAACTCTGCCTGGCTATGCCTGTGCCATCGCAAGCCTCCATTCCTCCCTCAGTATCTCAGCCTCACTTCGGCTGAGCAGTCCTTACCCACCCCATCTGGACCCTCGGGCTTACCTAGCCCCGTGCCCCCTCCCACCGGTCCCTAGCCCTGCAGCATCTGGCTCCTTCAGTGACCCGTGGAGCCCACTCTGACTCCATCCTGCTGATACTGGTCCAGCCGCTCCTGTTGGTCCATGCTGGTGACAAAGTCCACCAACAGCTGGAGCCCCTGCATCCAGATCTGGGCCTCCTCAACACTGTTGGCCACCAGGTCCAAGTTGGAGCGGCGGCCATGGAAGACGATGGTGAAGCCCTGCTCCAGGGGGAACTCCTCTGCCAGGTTTCGCAGCAACTCAGACTCGTGGCCCTCACGCACTGTGTCCACGTCGGATATTGAGACTGCCGGAGAAGAGGCAAGTGCGGGCACTGAGGAAGAGGGTCCGCCAAATTGCAGCAGCTGAGGGTCAAGAACCAGTACTCCCCTCTTTTCTCTGAAGCCACAGGAGGAGGGACCCCAGCCTCCACAGGTTGGAACCCCCAAAGCCTTAGTACAGGGAGATGCAGACCCTTGGAATTCAGGATGCCACAAGTCATTGCTGTTTTCATAGGCAGCATGGCAAGGGGCCTGTTCTGGGAGTGGCAAGACCTGGCTTCCAGCCACCAGCCGGCGGCGTGACATAGGCCAAAATGACATAACCCCTCAGTGCCCTCATCTTAAATAAGGGATGGTCCCCTCCATGGCCAGTTTACATGGTGATCACAGGAGGACTGGCGGGGCTGACAAGTGGAAACACACTTGCAGGGTAGAAGCAGTTACACCAAAGCATGATGTGCCCAAATTCAATTCTCCCATTCCAGGTTTGAGGGCTTCCTCTTTCCAGATGTCTGGGAGGGAGCCAGAGAAATCCTTCCCCCCACTTCTTCAGCTGGAGCTGGTGTGGATCGTGAGCTTTGGTTATGTCTCTAAAGTAGATTCTCTTAGATGTGTCCTGTGATCAAATTTTTAGAGGGATCATAAAGTGTTTGGCCAATAGGATGCACGTTATTATGACACATTTATGATATCTAGGAGTATTCATTATAATGACTAACATTTAGTAAATGCATCCTGCTTTCAGACCTCATGCTAGGTGATTTATACGTTAACTTCTTAAGCCTCTGTAACATACTGGACAGGTACTGTTTAATCCCCATTTCATAGATGAGGAAACTGATATTAGTTTAAGTTAAGTAACTTGTCCAAAGCCAGTCAGCTAGAAATTGGGAGAGCCAGGGCTTTAATCCAAACATTCTGATGCCTGAGATCAAGCTCTAATAATAATAATAACAGTATAATAATATATAATCTATGATTTACTGAGCTTTATTATGTGCCAGGACTCTTCGAAGGTCTTTGCATGCGATAACCAATTTGATCCTCATAACACACTTAAGAGGCAAGTACTGTTATAATTTCCATTTTACAGGCTCAGACACAGACACAAAAGGGACAGCACAAGGGCACGTCATAGGACACTGGTCCCTCCCCCTGCTCTCAGGCTGCTGGGTCCTCAGGGTTCTATCCACCCATGTGCCCGCCCCTAGCTATCCACATCACTCACAGCTGGGCTTGGCCCTGCCTCCGGCCTGCCGGGCATGCCAGACTGTCATGCCATCGTCCTGAAGTCTGAAGTATCTTAGCTTCTTCCAGCTTTTGGACCTCACCTTGCGCATCAGCGTGCCTTTCTGCATCAGCAGCAGGTCTTGATTAACAGGCAGCCCTGAGCCAGGAGAAGCAGGGACTGGGTAGCCGGCGGGGAGGGTGGAGGGCCCAGGAGGAGCTCTTGAACAGGGGTCCAGCCTCCTCCCTGTCCCTGGGCTGTCTCCCCAAGCCCTCTTCTCCTGCAGGGGTACTCACGGCCTTGCAGCAGGGATGCCATCACCCACTGCTTCACCAGCTGATGCCAGAGTCACCTAAAGGAGCAAGGAGCAGCAGCAAGAGGCTTTAGGTTAATCTCGGGGTCTTAGAATAACAGATCAGCGGAGGAGGAGAAGGAAGCTAGTGTTTCTTGATTGCACACTGTATGTCAGCTACTTCATCTACATAGTTTGTAGCTCTTTTTACTTCTGATTTGAGTTTGGTGATTCTGAGGCTTAGAGAGGCTAAGAAACTTGCCTCAGTCACACAGGGACTCGGAATTTAAACCCAAATATATCTGATTCCAGAGCCTATGCTGTTTCCCGCAGCCATCCCCGACAGGGCCACACCAGGGCTTTCTGCCAAATACCCCTTCCTTCCCAATATCCTGCTATCCACGAGGTAATGCTGACCACACGTCTCAGTTCCCCATTATTAGGAATCACCAACTTGCTGCCTGTCCCCTTTCAGAAACTAGACTCTCTCTGCATCCTAGCCTTCCCTTCTCCAAGTGGAATCGTCCCAGCTCCCTCCTCCGGAAGCCCTCCCCATGCTCCCAAGTAGGTCATCCAGCTCCAGAAGGGCTAAGCCAGAGTATTTCTTTTTTTTTTTTGCGGTACGCGGGCCTCTCACTGTTGTGGCCTCTCCCGTTGCGGAGCACAGGCTCCGGACGCGCAGGCTCAGCGGCCATGGCTCACGGGCCCAGCTGCTCCGCGGCATGTGGGATCTTCCCGGACCGGGGCACGAACCCGTGTCCCCCGCATCGGCAGGCGGACTCTCAACCACTGCGCCACCAGGGAAGCCCCAGAGTATTTCTTTTGTCTCTTCTACAACGCTTGGTGCTGCACCTACTTAAATAAGCCACTTCTACCTTCACATGATAAAGTATATTTTATACTCCTTTTCATAAAAGTAATTCTCACAGTTTTAATGCACCAGATAAGTTACATAGTCTCAGAACTGCATTTTCAAGTTTTCTCTACCTACTAAAAAAGAGTTCCTACCTTTAAATATGTGCTGTCTAATTTAGGACTGGTTAGGTTGTCCTAATAGCTAACAACAAACTTGCCTTGAAAAGAACTAGAAGATTTGATTTGTGGCCACTTTGATTCTAGCTCTGCCTCAAGAAGAAATATACTCAACTCTTAACCAAATCATGCTGAAACTGGCCAAGCCCATGAAACATAAAGCTCTATGCTCTTGTATAAGCAAAGGATCTACACTTGAATAAAAATGTTGTGGTTTTTAATTAACAAGTTTAACATTTTGACAGTGGTGAACATCTAAAAAACTGAAAGAATCCTTAAACCAATCATTCAGTTAGTACTCCACTGAAACATCATGCAGTTCAACTCCCTACGTTTTACAAATGAAAAAGCAGAAGTCCAGAAATATGATGTGACTTGTCTGAGGTCACACAGCATATTAGTGCCCTATCTCCCTTAGGTAGGAAGAGACTATAAAGTCACCCAGGGTGACTAAGTCTTCAGGAATAATGTGGAGATCACTGAGAATACAGCTTTCCTGACTGCAGGGCCTAGAGAAGGCTTTCCAAAGGAGTAGGAATGTGCAGGGAATCAGTTTGAGCCTAAGCAGAAGTAATAACTCAAGGCAGCTCTCAGGAGAGCAAGAACCCTGAGACAGTTCCAACTGTCAGGGAAAGGTTTTGCTGATGCCAAATGTGTAAGCTTGGGTGAGACCAGAAGAAACCTCTGATTGAAGAAGGAAGAAAAGAAGACAGAAAAGCATCTCTGCTTTGCTGGGTGGGGATGCACAGTTTGGAATCTGAGGTTTACAAAAGCTGTATGAAGACTGAAAAGTAACAGGTCTTTCTTAAATGTCTTAGGTCCTCAGACTCTAAGGGAGGTTGAGGTAACCCGGGCTGAAGCCTAATCCTCCTTGCCAACATCCTGCATCATCTCTCTTCTAAACTTCTGGGATGGGTGGGCCTTGGCCCTGGAAGAAGACAGAATTACCTTCCCTTATGCCTGTGTCTGGGAGCCTCACCATGATGTCCTGAAACATGGGAAGCCTGAGAACAGAGCCCAAGTGCTGGGACACCCCTATTTTGCTGGGACACCCCTACCTCCTCTCAAACCAGCCTTAGAAAATTATTTTAACCTCTCTTGTCAAACTCTTCCAATCCCAGAGCTCGGCATGCTCTTCCAATCCTGCTCCCACTCCTGAATCACTATTTTAAACCTGTATCTAGGTGACATGTGGCCATTAGAGGGCCAATTTCAACTCAGGGAGCCACAGAATGTCAGAGCTGGACTGCATTTTATAGAGAAGGGGACAGAGGACTAGCTGAACTGCCAGTCGCCTAATGAATTAAGTGGCAGAGCTGGGACTAGAACTGAGGTCTCTATATGACCACCTCAGAGGTCTCACTGAGACTCTGCCCTTAGAAAGGGCTTTCTCTAGGAAGCAGATTAAAGCAGAGATAAGACTGAATGAGGGACATCAGTGTTTTGTCTCTCCTCCCCATCATTTTCTGTTCCCACTGTATTCCACTTAATAGCCCTTCTTTTCTTTCTTTCCTTTCCCCATTCTCTGCTTGACCCCTTCCTTTTCCTTTCTCCCCAGCTCACTCTTCTCATCCTCTCTCTGCCTCCCTGTTTGCTCACTTAAGTCAGCCTCTCTTTGCTCTCCTCTTCTCATCCTTCTCCTTATACCTTCTCTTCATTACTCCTTCCTCTTTTGTTTCTCTTCTAATTCTCAATAGCTCTGGTTCTCTTCCACTGTGAGGAGTTTGAGAGCCTGGAAGGGGGACACTTGGGTTCAGATACTGAGTAGCACATCCCTCTGCTCGGCCTCATTTTCCCCTGTATCCTAGGAGATTGACTAAACAAACTGCCCAGAGAATGAGACTTAGAACCCAGGTGTTCTAGGTCTTGGTGTTTCCTTTGATGCCTGAAGGTAGGATGGGAAGTATGGTCACAACTGATGTAGGTGCAGTTAGGAGAAGAGGGAAAAAGGATTTGGAAGTGGGAGCAAGAGCAAAAGGCAAGGAGCAGAGGATAATGACTGAGAGTAAGAGAGATTGGGTCTTAACTGTTTACTCCTAGGCACATATGTGGAGATCCTTGAGGATATGGATAATTACCTCTATAACACAGATGAGAAAATAGAGACACAAAATAAAGTGGGAAGTAGCCAAGGACTGCCGAGCAAGATTTGGTCCTCAACTGCCAGGTGGCTTCATGTCACCTAGAGATGGACTTTGGCAGAGTTGCCAATGGCGCCAATGGCGCCAATGGCTAATAGTGGAATTCAAGGTGTCTATGGTCTCTCTGAGGGTAGGAAGGAAGAGAATCATTCTGTCTACTCTCTTGCTTTGGAGCAGGATTATGACAGACCTGGTTCACATAAAGAGGACAGAATGGGTCATAGCCCTCAGAATGTTAGAGCTTGAAGACTCCTCTTTTATAACACATCAATCCAGCAGTTCCTGGCTATATCAATATCTCCTGGAAAGTGTCTTAAAATAGAGATTCCTTAGCTCCACCTCAAATCTACCAGATCCAGATTTCCAAGGATGGGGTCCAGGAATATTTATCTTTAATAAGCACTCCTGATACACAAGCAAATCTGGGGAAGCCTCCACTCCCTCTGATCATAGATCAGGGAGTTGTGGTCCAAAGTCACAGAGCTAGTTAACATCAGAGTCAGGACTAGAAGCAAGTGCTCTTCCCAGCACAGCACTCTGGCACACCAACAAACTGCCCTGGGTCATTGAGCAGGCTAAGAACCAGGCATAGAACTCAAACCCTGGCTCTTTCCAAGGAAGTCTCACAACTCTCCCTATTACCAGGGGTTTCTGTACTCCCCATGGGTCTTGGCCGGCCCTCATTTGGTAATCCTCAACAATCTGTAATTGAATTTGTGCTAAAGAATGGCTGCTCCAATTCTCTCTCTTCCCTTACTAGGGTGGGGCTCACCTCTGAGTGGTAGCCTGGGTAGCTAAGAGGTCCTCATATAAAGAGGTGACTGATACAACCAGCAGGAAAACTGTAAGTCAAAGAGGTTAAGCTAGAGAAAACCAGGAGGTCAGAGCCCTGTAGGCCTGTTCAGGCAAAAGAGTCCAGGGTATGATTTAGTCAGGGTGGGTAAGCATGTGGAGGGCAGAGTTAGGGACTCAGACAGGCCAGAGCTTGGAGCAGAGGCTGGTCTGAGCCTCCAGGCCCTTACCGTGGGCGGGAGAGGAGTCCTGTGTCTGAGATCTGCGACGCTTTCTGCTGTGGGCCGAGGAAACCCAGGAGGGCTCCTTTTCTCCTTTGCTTCTCTTGCACTCTCTGGCTTCCTCCCCTCTTCTGCTGCAGTTTGCTGCTGTCACTGGCAGACTTACAGTCAGATAGAAAGAGTAGGGTGGGGAGAGGTGTGAGCGCTCTCCTCAGTCCAGCCCATCCAACTCTTAAAGGCCCAGGACACTGGTCAGTGTGAGGGAGTAGTGGGGGTGGGGTGCGCAGAAGAGGATTAAGGGGAGGGATTGACGGGCATCACATCTCCAGGGAGGAGGAGCCTGTCTGTCCTTCATCTTGATGCCAGCCCTCACTGACCTCAGTCCTGCAGTAGCTCTCAGAGTGAAACCCAAGGAGTATCCGAGTTGCAGTGCTCCATGAATCACTGCTTTTCATTCTGGTTGGTTTCTCTCTGCGTGTTGTACAGCTGTCTTTGCCCTTATTTCATCTGGCTCCTTTCCATGGTGTCTGTTTCCACTGGCAGAAGTGTCTCTGCATCCTGCCTTGCCGGGCACTCAGTCTAACTCTATGGCTCAGGGAAAGGAAAAAAGATAGAATGGGAAAGGGGGAAGATGAGAAAAGGAGGAGAGGAATGATTTGTGTAGAGGGATAGCTTGGTATCTACGTATATATTAGGTACTTGCTAAATATTGAAGGAATGCGTACGTGAATGTAGAAAACAATTTGTTTCATATATTCATTCATTCTACAACCATTTGTTCAGCACCTCTAATATGCAAGGACGTATATGTGTTTTTATAATGGTACATGTAGAAATGAAGCAGAATCATGGTGTCTGAGGATCAAGGGCAAAAAGAGGAGCACAAGGCTGGAAAGACACCCAACTGGGAAAGGAAGGTAATGAGCTTCTTACAGCGTGTATAAATAGGCAGTGGAAACAGAAACCAAGATTGAGGAAAGGGCACCAAGTTAGGTGAGGAATAGGGGATTGTAAAGGGCTTTATCATGGCCCCATACTTCACAGTGAGAAACTAAGGCCCAGGGAAGTTTAGGCCATGTCCTAGCCTCACATGTCAGCAGCAGAGACTGCCAGTCCCTTACACTCGCCCAAGTACTGTGAGCTGGGACCTACTTTTGCTCTGCCTTGGGAAGACTGTGGGGTATGGTTCTTTCTGGATCAGTGGATGACAGTATGGAGCTGAGGGCATAGGGCACAGCACTGTACTTGGAGTTCTGTGGGATCGTCTTCTGGTGAGGTGTGTCTTAATCATAGGCACAGAGGGAACTAACTGTATGAAGTGGTGTGATTTTTGAGTGTGCTGAGATCCAGCTGCCTCTTGTGTCTCCTCCAAACATCCCTCAACTGCCTAATAGTCTACCATCAGTGATTATTTATAGCTAAATCGTTAGTCCCATTAAAATAAAATCCTGAGTGATTACCATAAACGTCAGGATAGTGGTTACTTTTGGGAGGAGGGAGGAGTCGTGACCTAAGTTGAGTTTACTGTACTACGAGCAGGTTTTGGTAAAGGAAAAGGAGTATGCAGGGAGTAGAGGCAGAAGACGGAAGTCCATTCATGGAGAACAGGAAGATTAGGAGGCATCAAGATTTAAACTGTGCTGATTTCATATTTTACTTAATAGTGGTCCTGTGTCACATGCTCGTCTTACTCTCCCATTTCCACTTCTCCAACATCATCCTGTCCTTATTTTTCCATACTTCCCCTTCCCCTTCCCCACTCCCCTTCTGGATTCCAGGATTACATACAGTTTGCCTCTCTGAGTCACTATTTGCCTCACCTAATTGCGGCCCAACCTCCTTCCCTTCTGGGTGTTCCGTGAGGGGTATTATCACCCCTCCAGGGTTTCCTGGTAGAGTTTGAATCTCAAACATTCTGTTTCAGTGTCCTCATAAGCACCCCAGATCATGTGTTCTGATTTTGGGGAAAGGCACTTGGAGACCTTCACAAGGTTAATGTGGCTCCAAAGGATGGCTTAGAAGACATGTTCACTGCAGAATGCTCCTCAGACACAGGACAGGAGCAGACAGACAGGGCCCTGTGCATAGGAACTGTCCATCTGGTTTAGTTGCTCCTATTTCCATAATGATCCTGGCCCTTCCCCCACTGTTGTCTATTATTAACAGATCCAGAAACCTGATCAGGGTAGCAGCAGCAGAGGAACTTTCTGGGAACCATGCCCAGGAAAGGCCTAGAAGCCCTAAATTGAAATGAAGGGGCAGATGGCAAAGAGGGAGATCTAAACAGTATACTCTCTTACTGCTACGTAGGCAAGCCTAAACTCTCCTCCTGACACCCAGGGGAGATGCCCTAAACTTCTCTGCTTCTCAGGAGTCAGGTTGGGGTTTCAGAGACCTCTTTCCCAGACCATCCAACCAAACTACTCAAACTTCTGAAATAAAGCCCCCTTCTTGTTGGTCAAAAAGGCAACTCAAAATATTAAATTCCATCTAAAAAATCAATATGAGACCACCTGCTGAATTAAAAGCCAAGATATATAACTTCGAAAGACCACAGAATATGTAGCCACTCTTCCATTCCAGCACCAAAAAAAAAAAAAAAAAAAAAAACAACCCCAAAACAAAAAAACACCAAAACCACCAAGGGGAGTGGGAACAAGGAGGTATAAAATAAACCAGAGAACAAGATGATAGAAGTGAGAACTAAAAATGCAAAGGGTGTAAATGCAAAGGGTGTAAGAGGTAAAACTTTCAGAAAATACAAGTGTATGCTATTTTTTTTTTTTTTTTTTTCCCCTGGTACGCGGGACTCTCACTGTTGTGGCCTCTCCCGCTGCAGAGCACAGGCTCCGGATGCGTAGGCTCAGCGGCCATGGCTCACGGGCCCAGCCGCTCTGCGGCATGTGGGATTTTCCCGGACCCGGGCACGAACCCGTGTCCCCTGCATCGGCAGGCGGACTCTCAACCACTGCGCCACCAGGGAAGCCCCAAGTGTATGCTATTTTTAAGCCATATCTCAGAAAGGTGGTACTAAAATGTTGAAAGTTAAAGGAGGATATCTGGGTGTGGAAGGACTCCAATTTCATTTTTATTCAAGATTGCCTTGACTGTTTTGGCACTTTGCATTTCCATGCAAATTTTAGAATCAGCTTGTCAATTTTCACAAAAATAAACCTGTTGGGATTTTACTTAGAATTGAGGTTCACCAGCAGATCAATTTGAGAGAACTGTCATCCTTACAATATTATTTTCCAATCCATGGAGTCGATATATGTCTTCATCTTTGTCTTTTTTTTTTTTTTTTAACATTTAAGGCATTTCAATTTTTTTATTTTCAAAATGTATTCATTTATGTTATTGTCAGATCGTAAAGTCATCCCTGAAATTTCATCAGGGTTAAAAATGCTTCTCAAATCTAATGTTATCTTATATACAATTTCAAGAAATAAAACTAAGTTATTGTGAAACTTTCACAGTGAGATTTCCAAATAGCTGAGAACATAGGCAAGTTTCCCCTTTGCTTCCAACAGACAGAAGCTAACCTATAACAAGGAAGAAAAATATTTGGTGAATTGACTATACATGATTTGACCACACACCTGTCAGTCTTTCTTTCAAGAATGTTTCATTGTTTTCAATGTAAAGATTCTGCATATCTTTTGATAAATCTATTGATATTTCTAGCTATTTGTTATCCTATTATAAACAACATATTTTTGAAATTTCATTTTCTATTTATTGTATCTATAATCTTTTTTAAAAATCTTTTATTAATTAAAAAAATTTTAATTTAGAAACACATAATTGATTTTTGGGGGGCAGTATATTGACTTTGTATTCTGTGGCCTTGCTAAATTCACTTAATCCTAAGAGTCTGTAGATCCTTTTGGATTATTTACATACACAATTATGTTGTCACCACTTTTTTTGTTCCTTTATAATCTTTTCTTTTTTAAAAATCTTTTATTAATTAAAATTTTTTTTTAATTAAAAAAAATATTTATTTGGCTGTGCTGGGTCTTAGTTGCAGCATGCGGGATCTTTAGTTGCAGCATGCGGGGTCTTTAGTTGCAGCAATGTGGGATCTTTAGTTGCACCATGAGGGATCTTTAGTTATGGCATGCGGGATCTTTAGTTGCAGCATGCGGGCTAGAGCCCTGACCAGGGGTTGAACCCAGGCCCCCTGCATTGGGAGCACAGTCTTAACCACTGGACCACCAGGGAAGTCCCTTCTTTTATTTTCTTGACTAATCACACCGGCTGGGACCAGTATAATGGTATACGGAGTTGTGATAGTGGACATCCTTATCTTATTCCTCATCTCATGGAGAATGATTTCAATATTTTATCATTGAGAGGTTTACTGTAGGGTTTTTATTAAGATTTTTATTTTATTAAAAAATTATTTTTGTTTTCATGAATATGAAACTTTTAACTTCTTTAAATTATAATTAAATTTTATTTTGGGTCAAAGTGATTACACACACACATATATATATTTGTGTGTAATCAATTAACCTACCTACCTATATTTAACCTACCTACATACATATGTAAGATTTTTATGAGATTAAGGATATACCCTTCTATTTCTCGTTTTCAAAGTTTTTAAAAATCATGAATAGCTGTTGAATAGTGTTCTTTCCTGCATCTGTCTAGATTGATTTTTCTCCTTATACGTTGATTGTGTGAATTGAATCCATTAGTTTTCAAGTGTTGAATCAATCTTGTATTTTTGCAGTAAACCCAAATTAGATATGACCTATTATCATTTTTATATATCGCTAGATTTGACTTGCTTATTTTGTCTGGCAGTTTTACATTAACATTCCCGGGAGAGATTAGCACCTGGTTTTCCTTTCTGGTGATATCTTTGATAGTTTTGGTGGCTGGGTTATACTGCTTCAAAAGTGAATTGAGGGACTTCCCTGGTGGTCCAGTGGTTAAGACTCCATGCTCTCAATGCAGGGGGCCCGGGTTTGATCCCTGGTCAGAGAACTAGATCCCGCATGCCACAACGAAGAGCCTGCATGCCGCAACTAAAGATCCCGTGTGCCACAACTAAGACCTGGTGCAGCCAAATAAATAAATAAATATATATATTTTTAATAAGTGAATTGAGATCTGTTCCCCTTTTCTATAGTTTCTGGAAGTTTATGATACTGGTGACTCTAAGATATGATGTCCCTTTTTCCATTAAAAAAAGATTTTATTTATTTTTGGCTGCATCAGGTCTTAGTTGTGGCACACGGGCTTCAGAGCACGCGGGCTCTCTAGTTGTGGCATGCGGGCTTAGTTGCCCCGTAGCATGAGGGATCTTAGTTCCCCAACCAGGGATCGAACCTGCGTCCCTGCATTGGAAGGCAGATTCTTAACCACTGGACCACCAGGGAAGTCCCTCTTTTTTCATTTCTAATGTTGAGGTTTTTTTCCTGATCAGTCTATGGGTTTATCAGTTTTACTGTTTTTGAGGGAATGACTTTTGGCTTCACTGATTTTCCTTATTGTACATCTGTTTTCTATTTCATTGCTTTTTTTTTTTTCTGCATTCTTCCTTCTACCTTTTGAATTTGCTATTCTTTCCCAGTTTCTTGATGTGAAAACTTAGATCACTGACTTCAGCCTTTCTTTTGTAATGTGTGAGTTTAAAGTTATATATTTTAGTGCTTTACCTGTATACCACAGGTTTTGATATGGCATATCTTTATTACCAGTTAATTTTTTTTATTTCCTTTGTGCTTTTTTTCCTGTGACCAGTGGGTTATTTAGAACTCTACTGCCTGTTTTATAAACAGTTAGGGACTTTCCAGTTGTTGTTGTTGTTGTTTTTTTCCCTAGCTTAATCCCACTGTGTTCAGAGAACACTGTATTATTTTAAATTATTTTCGAAATTTCCTGAGGCTTACTTGATGGTCCAGCTATGATCAATTTTGGTAAAAGCTTTTGGTGCTATTAAAAATATGTATACTGTTGGTTCAGTGACAATGTTCTATTTATGTCAGTTAAGCTAGGTTTAATTGTGTTGTTCAACTTACCTATTATATCTGGTTTTTAAATAAATGTATTATTAAAAAAAATTTAAATTCCACAACATTCTGGAAAGAAAAATCTCATTTCATTCTATGGTTTCCTATTTTAAATGTTTTCCTTGGACTTTTGATAGCAATTAACTTTGTGTATTCCCCCTCTCCCCCTCATACTTTCCCAGCCTTTGAGCAGCAGGAATAGTGAGCAAGGGAATCATACATATAGCCAGTAAGGAAGCTCTGAAGGCTACCAATGCCTCTCCTTGCCCTGTTCCATCACTGAAAATGAAGGCCCTCAACCCTTGGAAAAAAGAAGCTGGAAGCAGAGGTTGGCTCTCTCCCATTAAGAGCCAGGAACAGGGATGGAAACAACTCTGGAGATGTGCTCTAAGTCTTGAACCCTGGAAAGAAATGAATATTAAAGTCTTTGATAAAATGTTTCAAGCTTTACCTCTTCATTTATAGAAGTCTCTCCCACACTAGTACTGTTCTAGCTACTACAGCCAGGAGTGAGGTCCTGCCCCAGCAAGAGATACTTTGTCAGAAAAAGGGCACCATCTCAGCCTTGCAAACAGCTTTTATACATCAGTAATCTTCTCCCAAAGGACCTATCTAGAAAGGAACCATCACTGCCCTCTTGGCAGTGTGTGTGTAGTTCAACAGAGGTAGAGGCAAGGTTGATGAGGATCATCTGACCACAGTGCCTAGATACCTCGATATTGACAAAATAAAATCTCCAGTTTAAAAGAAAAATTATTGTTACAAAAACAGAAGCATGTTTTATTTCAATCCTGTTGAGGGAGTGAGGATGGAACACAGAAAATGCGGGGCGGGGGAGGGGTCCTCTTTATACACACAGGACATCAGGATCAACTACAAGGAACAATACCCATTTCCACCCCTCCCCGCAACTCCTACATGGGGTCCAAGGCCAGCTGAGAATAGATGGTACAAGAATTAAGATACTATTGGCACAGTACAATGGCCAATGCACCGGAAGATGCAGAAGAGAATTTTTCAGGGAGCAAGGCCTGGCCCTCAGCTGCTTCCCCAGAGGAGGGGGAATGAGAAAACTTTGGCTCAGAAGGAAGGCGGTTGGCAAAAATCAGGATTACCCTAGCTGGACTCTCCAGGTCAAAACTACGGGCTGAAGGGAGTCAAGACATTTATCCAGTCCATGCTGTTCTCTGATTTCTCCAAGACCTCTTCTCTTCAGGCTTGAGATTAGTGAGAGCTGGCCTGGTTCTCCTCTTCATTTTGGAAAGCAGGGGAATAAGTGCTTATCCGACCCTTTCTACATCTAGGCTGCTTAATTACTACTTTCTTGGCTCTAAAGAGACAGAAGCCAACTAACAAGCCGGCTCCCTTTGTGAAAGTCGGCTTGAAAGAGCCCTTGGGTTGGCAAACTGCCTCTGCCAAGGTTTCTCTGAGCCTGCCCCTTATAAACCCTCCCCAAATGTATTCAGGGACACCTTCAATCGTGTGAGATGTGGGCCAAAAATACTTGGTCTCTCTCTAGTTGGGTTAACAACCCCATCTTTGACTGCAGATGGGGATTAGAGACAGAGAAAGCAGGTGATGGCAGGGGGAAGGACTGGGGGAAAGCAAGGCAGTTTACACTGCAGATTCAAGCTCTGGATTGTGAATAGAGTCACCTAAAGCTCCAGAGCAGGAAGGGGGATTCTCTGACACAATATGAAAAAGTGTAAAATATTTTAGTGGCAACCCTGTAATTCCCATAGACCATAGGGGAATGTGTCAAAAAAAAA